CCGCTCGGGCTCCAACCCAGCGCCTCGCCTCGCCAGCCCGCCGGCTCCCAGCCCGGCTCCTCGGGCGCTGCAGGTGACCCGGCGGCGCATTCCAGCGCTCCCCGCCGTCCCAGCCACCGCCGCCACCGCTACCGCCGGCGCCCCGGCCGCGACTCAGCCACAGAGAAGCAGAGAGCGCCCAAGCCGGTGCGTGCGCGGGGCTGGGCGGGGGCGGGGGACCCACGAGTCCAGCAGCCCGGACCCTGGGTTCGGAAATGCGACCCCGCCTTGGGCCCCTGTTTTCCGGAAACCCGGCGAACCCGGGGAGCCCAGGCTGGGGGCGGGGAGAGGGGCGTCAGGGTTCCCCGGGCCTGACAGAGATTTCCCCGACCTGGGCTGCGCAGACCAACGCGGGCTATTCTAGGGACCCCGGGCCGCGATCGAAGGATACACACGCCAGGGGCGATGGGGATCCCCACGCAGGGTCGGGATCCGCGTGCTTGCTCGTCCACCTTACCGGGATGGGCCGCGACTGCCGAGCGTCTGCGAGGTACGCGCAGCTCCGGAGATCTGGTCCGTTGCTTTTAAGGAGCGAAGCGGAACCCCGCAGGATATCGGGGCCCTGAACTCGGGGGCTTCGCCACTGATTGTCCAAACGCAATTCTTGTACGAGTCTGCGGCCAACCGAGAATTGTGGCTGGACATCTGTGGCTGAGCTCTGGGCGCAACAGGGGCGGGAGCCACAGGGACCGAGCTCACCGCGGGCAAGACCCCTTGGGGTGGCTGCTGGCTGGCCCCAGAGCGATGGTCGCGGCCCGGCCGTGCGCGCAAAGGAGGGACACCGGTCCCTGCTACCAGCGCCGCCATCCTCCTCGTCGTCGTCCTCTTCGTTCTCCTCCTCCTCTGCGGGTGACCAGTCCCGGCTGGCGGGGTCCTCCAGTCGATCGCGTCGTTTTTCCCTTTTTCAAATTTCGGCCGGGAACGAAGCTGGCATGCCGCGGCGGGGCTCAAATGTGGTCCGGGTAGCTCGCCCTCGGCCGGAGCCGCAGGAAGTCGGGGGCGAAAGAAGATGCCGGCGGACTACGCTTGCTAACTCGTTTTGAATTTGGTTCTAATCTATCTTTCCCCACCAATACCCCCAAAACAAAAAATGCCTAAACCGATCCCTAAACCCCAAATAGATCGACTCCTCCAACCAGCCCATCCTGACAGATGGACGGGCTGAGCTCCCCCAACCGCAGCCGGAGTCGGGAAGCGTCGGGAATGATGCGCTCCGGCCGGGCAATCACCTTGGCTTTGGAAACAGAATTTGGTCAAACGAATCCTTTTCATTAAAGACAAATCTTCGGAGATAGTGGGGTTTATTTATTCGTTTATTTCCTCAAAAGTGGGTTCAGGAGTTGCTGGGGGGGCAGTTGGGGGTTGTTGGGGCTGAGCCTGGGTCACCTATCCCTGACCCCTTTTGCACTCAAGCTTAAAATGGCCCAAAATGCTGTGGAGTGTGGCCCTGGCCAATTTCAGCTGTGATGCTGGGATCTCTTGTTGCCGTGGAGAACCTGGTTTCCCCAGGTATCCTCCTGCCCTACTCCTCAGCATTAATTGTGGAGGAAAGGGTAACCCGTTTATACCCCTCCTCTCCCCAGTGCAGGCAGGAAAGGATTCCTATCGCCCAGTTTCCAGGACTTGGATCCCAGATGGGGTAACAGGGCACTATGAAGCTCAGCTGGGCTGGGGGAGGAAGGCACTACCAGGTTACAAGAATCAGGGGACAGACTGATGCTTAAAGTGAGGCTGTCGCTTGCCCTGTTCCTTAACATGGAGAATCTAGCCTCAGCACCTAGTGCAGACTGGTCATACAGCCCCTCTAGATAGCACCTGGACCCACACTGGCCTTAATTTGCACCCATAACCTCAACATGGCCACCCCCACCCACACACATACCCCAGAGGCCTCCATCTGCAGTGGGGCTGGAGAGAAGCTCACCAGACAGGGGGTTACCTGTCCTTGAGAACGATGTGCACACCTCTCCCCACCCCCCCAACACTAGGACAACCATTTGGCACTTTTATCTCCACAGAGTGAGATAAATTCCACCTTGAATTATTGACATTTAATGAAAAGCCACGTTTTGGGCAGGATGATGTTAATGCCCTAATTTTTTTTTTTTTTTGAGGTCTCCCTCAAAAAAAGCTTTTTCTCCGGTAACGGGAAGTGGGGCTCAGCAGCCCTATCCATGCCATCTCCATTCTGGGTTCTGGGGCTGATGGCTGCGGCTGAGGGGACAAAGCCTGGCCTCGGACAGATGAGTATGGAAGTGTCCTGGGACCCAGCCTGGGCAGCAGACACTGGCTCTGCCACCCCCTTCTCCAGATGGCCCTATCACCCCTTTGCAGATAGTCTGGGTTTCAACCCTTGCTCCCTTTTCGGGTGAAGGGCAGTTCTGAAAGCCCTAGGCTGAGGACAGAGAGGTTGGACCAAAGACCATGGTTGGTTGAGGGGGATGTGGGGTGCCACTGGTTTCTAAGGATGAAGTTCTAGGCAAGGTAGTAAACAACCTAGTCTTTTATTTGCCTAAGGCCAGCTGTTGCGGGCACTGAGGCCCCAAGACTTCCAGAAAGGATGGAGGGGGGAGGGGCAAACCATCCTGCCTACCAGGTGCTGCCTGCCCCCATCCTGCTTCCTGCAGGAGGTGGGAGAGGAGATAAAGTCTACATTTGTGTCATCAAGTATCTCCCCAGTTTTCAGACACTATAAAAATTCAGTTGTTGAGGAAGAAACTGAGGCACACTGACCCCCCCACCCCAGGCCTCTACTTGCCAGTCCAAGGCTTAGCCTACACCCTCCTTCTCTCTACCCCCAGTGGAATGAGCTGCATGCAGGCAGCCTTTTGCTGGGGGGAGGGTCTCAGGAGCCCATCTGGTGGTCTGTGTTGGGGAAGGCCAGCCAGGGTCAAGGGCTGTGGATGGGGGAGCAGGAGGAGGGGTGTGGTTGGAAGAGCAGCTGCTGGGTGGGGAGGGGGGTCAGCACTGAATAGGGGACCCCAGCTGGGGTTCCATAATGATATCAGTGGGGGACAGGCAGAGCCCTCTGCTGTCCAGATGGGGAAACTGAGGCGGAGACTCCTCCAGTCTTTGAGAAGGGAGGGGCCTGCCATCAGCTATTCAGGTCCATTCATCTTCCCCAGGAAGGCACTGTGGCCCAGGAGCTGGACTGCCTTGTCAGCGGTCACTCAGTGTTTAGACTGAGACACAGGGAGTGGAAGGCAGCTGGGTCACCTGGCCACAGAGACCCCTCTCCACTCTTGACAAACTAAGGGGCACCCTCCCCCATCTCAGCTACTGGGAGAGGGTGTGCCAGGCTAAGGCGCCTGCCTGCCTTCCTGCCTTCCACTGCTCACGTGCCTGAGAAAGGCTCATTTTTAGCACCTGGCCTCTTTTCCCTGCCTGGAGGGAGCTCAGGGGACAGAGTAGGGAAGAAAGCAGCCAAGGGGGACAGGGAGATCTGGAAGCAGGGCCCAAGGGGGTGTCTGATTGTTCTGTTCCCCCACCCCAAGGGGGCCCAGGCACAGAGAGGGGCCCTTAGCCGCCGTGCAGCGTGGATATGAAGAGGATGCTGTCCTGGTCCTGAAGCTGATAGTCCAGCTCACCCTGGTCCAGGAGAGAAATGAGAAGACCGTCAAGGGCACTTTTCCAGTTTCTCCCCAGGTGTTGGGAGGGGAAGGGGAGGCCTGGCTGCTCTGGGAGAGAAAGATAGAATTTACCAGAGAAAAAAAAAGGGGTACCCCAAACATTAATTTGCAAATCTCCAGGATGGAGGAGAGCTCACCACTTCCCAAAGCTATCCATTCCTTCCTCACATGGGGGTAGGGCGTGGCCTCAGTCTGGAGGCCAGACTGGGATAGAGGATTACCCAACCACCCTATTTGGGCATGATGAGAGGCCTAAGGCTTTCTTACTAAAGCAGTGAGGGGAGGGGTTGAGGGAAGGCTGTCCCCTGAGGTACTGACCAGCAGTTCCCAGTCGGCATCATTAATCAGCACCAGAATTCCTGGCCGCCTGTGGGAAAGATGGTGGTGAGTAGCAGGGCATGAAGGGCGGGAGCAGACAGCAGCAAGGGTAGAGGCTTAGACACTGGGGCTGCAGGAGTGTGCTGGGAGCTTTTCATATGGAGGTCCCTGTTAAAGATCTCCCAGGAAGTGAAGCTGACAGTCCAAATCTAAAGAAAACCAGGTGGATAGTCTATGGGCCAGATAGAAAATGGATGCAAACTCGACTACCACTTCCCAGACCTCGGGCAGGTCATTTTGTTTCCCTGAGCATCAGTTCCCTCATCTGAAAACAGAGTAAATGACAGTGCCTCCCCAAAGAGCTCTGTGGGGGGATGAAGCGGGATGAAGTGTGTGAGGTGCTTGCTTGCCAGCGTCTAGCACGGGAACCAAGTAGTGGCCTATTTTTCCAAGGGTCTAACCTCACTGTTCATGGTCTCCTGTGTGTCCCTCCTGAAAATGAGGCTATCTTGGCTTCTCTGAATCAAGGAAGGCTGCCAGTGGCCCTGAGCCCCTGAATGCCTGAGATCAGCACTGCTGTCCTTGGGGGTGACCTCCATAACTGTTGAACCACGACCTGAGCAAAGGGTTGTATGGCAGCCCTATCCCCTAGGGCTTGCAGGTGATCTCTGCTTACAGGCAGAGGGCCCTGCCCTCTTCTTTTACAGATTAGGCTGCCTTGTTGTAGAAGTAAAGTGACTTCTTGGCGCATGGAACCTGGATCCTTCCCTAGGAGGCTAAGCTGGGCCTGGGACAGATATAGAAGCTTTAGGCTGGGGTAGGGATGTCCCCAGTGAACACAAATGTGTGTGCATGTGCACATGTGAGTGTGCACATTCACACTGACTCCCTGTAATCCTAGACCCACGCTGTCCAACACAGTATCTATTAGCCACATTTAAATTTACATTACAATTGGAGGATTAAGAGGTACAAACTATCAGGTATAAAATAAACTACAATGATGTATTGCACAATATGTGGAATATAGCCAGTATTTTATAGTAACTATAAATGGAGTATAACCTTTAAAAATTTGTGAATCACTATACTGTATAACTGAAATATATAATACTGTACATCAACCATACTTCAATTTAAAAATATAGTGTAATAAAGGCATAAATAAAAAATAGCTATAAATAATAAATTTAAATTACAATTAAAACTGAACACTTAGTTCCTCAGTCCACTAGCCACATCTCAAGGGTTCAATATCTTCATGTGTCTAGCAGCTACCATATTGGACAACACAGATATAGAACATTTCTGTCATCACAGAAAGTTCTGTGGGAGAGCACTGTCCTAGCTTGTCAAGGGATGAAAAAGTCCTTGGGTAGTATCTTTTTCTCAGTACTTTCTGTACGAAGAGAGCAGCTGAGGCCCAGAGAAGTGAAGTAACTTGCCCAAGGTTCTGCAGCAAGTTTGTGACAACCAGAAAGCAGAATATAAT